TAGGAATATAATTTCTCGATTGCCACCCAAGATGGGAATGGCTACCGATTACATACGACTTGAAGTAGAATTCCACAGGGCGTTCGGAGAATGGAAGCAGGCGTTTTTCCGAATCTCTGGGATTAAAAAGACCAATCCAATCTGCCCGATTTTGCAAGTATTTTTCAGACATAAGTATTCGTTATATCTGCAGGCCGCCATCTTTTAGAGCGTACCGGTTTATGTCACGACGAGCGTGTAGCCATTTTCTCGGATAGCCAGGCGACCCATAAAAGACCTTGGCGTCTATCAGTTTCGACCTTGACTGATCAAAGAATGTACGACTCTTTAAAGCGCAGTAAGTAGTCAGCTCAATCTAGATTTAGTTTGGGTCGCTGGTCATCGCAACATTCCACGCAACGAGGCTGCAGACGGGTTAGCCAGAGAGGACTCCACATTGGACTCGATTGAGGAGCGTTTCTTACGCCCAGTCGGAACCATGTAAGGAGAAATCCTTCTCCAAAATCTTTAGAAATCGGATCGAAGGTGGCGCACTGCGGCAGACTGCCGTATATCCAAACTCATGTCGCACGTGTCCAAACCTAAGAGAACAAACAATGTATTAGTAAAACCCAGACCTGACGTTGCGAAGCTAGTAGCGATTCTTACTGGGTATTTGCCGGTTGGCACCCAAGCGATTTCAGCTTACGATGAGTTTTCAAACGGATCATATCTCTATTCATGGAAAACCCTCACTCGTTCCTTATGGACCTGACAATCCAAGTGTTAGATTGGGCTCCTGGCTCTGCAAATCTAAAGCGCCTGGCGGACAATAGCAAGTTGTGTTAATGAACAATTCAGCTGAAGATAGAAGAAAGTACAAAGCATTTTCCCACTGTTAATCTATGACATTCTTGGAACTCAGACAAGTATGCTGAATACTTGAAAAACTGGTTATGGTTTTATTCGTCAAACCCTGACCTAAACTTGATAGAACCCTGTGAACTGCTAAGCAGTCGACACGAGTACTATACTTTCCAGACTACACCTCGAAACCCAGATCATTATAGATGAGACAAGAACGGAGCTTTTTAACCCTGTAAAACTAACCATGAGTAAAATTTACTTCACATCGTTTGGTCGTAACTGAAGACGGTATGCGAGAGCTACAGAAACGTGGAAGAATCTGTTACAGAATTAACCAATTTTGGATTATCTGAAAGCTGCGGCCGCTGGTTGTAGCAGCAGCGGAATCAGGCGGTTTTAAAAACTGGATGTCTTTAATGCTAGTTTTCTAGGGTTAAAAGCATGCAGCTCCTCCAACGCTCTCAGTCGTTTACGTCAAAATACACATTGGCCTAAAAAAAATCGACACGAATCAAATTTCGTATGACTTTCAAAACATTTAACGAATTCGCATTATTCATATAAACAAAAACGATGCCGTACGTGATCGTAAATGTATGTACATACGAACATTCAAGTATTTTTTCCTTTCCATAACCGTACAAATTATGAAATTTGAAACTCAGCACGCACAAAAAAATACAAAATCATTACCAGTACGACGTGGTATTCTAAATGCTCTGCTAAAAGTGCATTCAAACGGGGAAATGCGAATACTTTTTCAATGCATTCTGATGTCAAATTAATAAAGTGAACTTCCACTTTTCTGTGTGAACACCCAAAACGTACTTACTGCCAATTTTCGTAAATGTAGCTGGCAGGGTGTAACAGCAACTTGAAGAACGCAAATCGCTTTTGAAAACTAATTTCAACTTACTCACACTGCTGTGACATTTTTGTAGAAAGCGCTGTCATACCTGGTGTCGTTTTTGGCACCTTTTTTCGAAATAAGAAAATCTAATATCGAATAAAATATTAAATATTGTATTTTGAAAGTTAAGAACTACAACTGCTGCAACCACAAACCTTTCGAAATTCTTTTTGACAGACTTGGCGAAATTATTTGCATTGCCACGTCTGACTACGCTATAAGCCTGCAAAAACTTTGATTTTAGCTGCTGCTTTTATGTATACATAGTAAAAACGTAAACTCAAAAATTTCATGCTCGTGATTTTTGTGGCATTTCTACCCTTGATCACCACAGCCGCAAACGCATAGGCAGGCAAGCAACATCAATTTGAAGCCATAAAGGCAAGACGCATTTTGGTTGACGTTTGTTTATGGCGCACTAACTCTGCCTAACGACTGACTGACTGACTGACTGCTTGCCTGCTTGCAGTTTTAATGTAACGGCTGGGTATGTATGCATTTATGCTCTTCAACGATCTACCTACCTTGGCAATTGACAGGGAAATGCATTGAAAATTCTCGCAGCTTTAGAGAGTTTTGTGACATTCGCAGTTTTCACAAAGGAAAAACTCTGCGCGAGGATTTTTAATACTATTTAACGTTTTCTACCTGAAGTCTTTAGGTAAATCGGCTCACAAAAGACCGGCTATCCTGTTGCGAGATACGTGATTTTTGCTACTAAGTAGAGGATTGCATTGATGTGGCGCGGCGGAGAGGCAACGAGAGGACAGAATTACTCTCTGCAAGAAGATTTAAAAGGATCAAGCAAACACGCTAGGCAGTCTTGTAAAAGTGTCTATAAATAGAGGTTGTATGCGCCTGTGAGTCGCCATTAGTGGTAGATGTAAAAATATTAGATTGCAGTAGGTGCGTACATATTTTGGAACCTTGTAAGAAAATATAAATTTTTTTTTTATATAACGCTGAGAGAAAACTGTGTGAAGAGTGAATTAAAAATGAATGAAAAATAGTGTGAAATACAAATCGCGATTTTTTTAAGGAAAAGCGCCCGAAGCTCATTTCCCGCGCAATTTCCTAGGAACTGAGTATAAAAATAAACAAGAGGTGTTTAGTGATTGAAAGAATATCCCGTTTGGTAGGTACTTAGCTTTTTAATGGATTCAAGAAAAATGTGTCATAAAGACAACACTTATATAGTCAGTGGGTATAGTTAATGAACTAAGGTTCCTTAACTACATATTTTCAGTACAAAATGTGAAAGTTAACTGCCGATTGTGAGTTAACTCTTCACTGAGGATATTGCCCTAAGACAAATAAATTGAAGAAGTTTGTTTTCCATAAAAAAAGAAGACACGACTGTTGCATATAAAAATTATTTAATTAAAAAAAAGAAGGTGCGCCTGGGCCACACTGGAGAAGTGAAACTTACGTTACATATCTATTTTGTCTCATAACCAATATATGGACATACATGCATACATCTGCTTTTGCTTAAGGTTATATTTTTTGTCTTTCTCCTATCTATATCCCGATTTTGTTATCGGTACGGTATAAAGATAAAAATTAAGAGAAAGGTAAACAGAATAACGTAAATGTAATTTGAACGAACAGGGGTAGAGGGTTCGTTTAATACTCTATCGATAACAAAATATCGATAGTAACATCCAACAAAATATCGATAACAAAACGGATAAAAATATCGATAACGAATTCGATAAAAATTTTGATAGCAAAATCGATTAGAAAATCGAAACACATCGATATTGATAAAAAAAAATCGATAACAAAAATCGATTAGAAAACTGATAAAATTATCGATAACAAAATCGACAAAAATATCAATAACAAAATCGATCAAAATATCGATAACAAAATCTATAAATAATCGACAAAAATATCAATAGCAAAATCGATAACAAAATCGAAGCACTTGTTTCAGCCCCAACCATTTCCGATGCACAATTTCCGTTGAGTTTGCCAATTTACTCCCAACCAACCAGCCGCCGCTAAAGAAGTTTCACTTCAATTGCGCTTTTAAAATTTAAGTGAATTGGTTTTTGGTTCGTATCGAATCGATGCGCCAACACTTAGCAATTGTTTCTTTCACATACAAATTTTTCATAAAGCTTGATATTTTGTAACCCGATTAAGAAGCAGCCAGCTCTGATAATTTCAGCTTCCCTTATCAATACTAAAAATTCCTTAGTGGACGTTTTCTTTATACAGGGTGATTCAATAAGACCGCAGATGTTTGCAATCGTGTAATTGTTTCATGCCCTGTGTGGCAAGTGGCAGCTTCCTGTTTAAGCCACATATTTTTCAAGTCGATGCCATCTAATTCATGCCATAAAAAGTTTGTTATCATGTCACGTTAACATCCATTTACCCGCAGCAGCGTTGCCGGTAGCATTTTCAAAGAAGTACGGTCCGATGATTCCACCAGCCTAAAAACCACACCAGACAGTGACTCGTTGTGGGTGCATAGTTTTTCTTGAATGACATCGCACGTTTAATAATATAGAGATTTAATTCAAAACTTACATTTTTGGAGATTTCATCATACAATTAATAAGCTTGATATGGAGAATATGTTCAGCCTTCGCATCTGTCTTTCGGTATACCAACTGCAAATCAACCTATTGGAGAGAGCTCTGATGGCGCTTTACTGTCTGAAAAGATTACTAAAGTAAGCCATTTGCTTAATGCAGTACATGCATTTCTGGAACCCAGATGAGGGAGCCCATTTTTCCAGATTTTCCAGAGCGAAAGCCCACCTCTTTTTAATACCGGAACGTTTTTCCCAAAATGCCTGAATAGTGGTCGCTCCTAGGAAGAATACCGTCAGATATTTGTGGGTGCAACTCTTTTGAGGCTACTGATGCTTGAACAAAAATATGGAATAAGAAGCCATACTTTGAAGTTTATTGACCGCTGTTATGTAAATGTTTCAGGTTACAAAGTACGTAGGCGTAGCAAAAATCGGACGGACGACCATGCGGTATAATCACTCTATTAACTTTGAGCGCAGACCCAATGTCCGATCCAAAAAAGGCTTTTACAGGTTCACATGGTCCGTGTGGCTTTACTAAGAGGCTTGTCAAAGTGGCAGTTCCAACTCAGTCTCTAATCTAGGGTTATATCAAGAAATTTTACCTCGTCATAATATTCAAATACTATCATTCTAAGTCGCGAATTACTGCAAAAAAAAATTTTACTAAAAACTATTCTTCTTTTATCCTTTCAGATATTTATCTTACGACTGGCATACATTCAAAAGACTTCTAAAACCCGCCAAATTTGAATAAACCTTCCACCAGCATTTATATAAACATACATACATACGTACACTCATCTATATATATTTTATATAGTACATACATATATGAAATAAAAGCTCAACATAAGCACCGATACAAAAAGCGTAGATCTGCAAAACAGTATTACAAAGCATGGGCGAATTGGAAGAGAAGGAGACAGGACCATCAGAAACCACACCACAGCAAGAGGTTGTTGACGAACCCAAAGAAACCGACAAGATGCTCGAGAAAAAAAACGATGCCGACACGGCTGAGCAGCAAACAGAAAATGCGGACGCAAAGGATAAGAATCCAAGTCCTAATGCGGAAAAGAAAAAGGCTGCCTCCTCCAAACCAACAACACCAACTTCTTTGAGTGGTAAAAAATCTCGCACCCAATCGGTTGAACAGCTGGCCACCGCGCAAGCCGGTGCTGCGGAAGCGCAGCCCGCAAGGGTAAATGGCGGTAGCGGCGAGGAAATTATTGACATACCCGAAACTGGTAAGAGTGAGGAGAGTGATGAAAAGAAAATCTCCACTCAAGATCGTGAAGTAAAGCCGAAGAAAATACCAATTGGTGGTTTGAAATTGCCTGGGTTCTTTATGAAAAATAAGCCCAGAGCTGATGGAGATGGTGCTGATGGTGAACTATTGGAAAAGGAAAACAAGGATGAAGTGCCTGCCGATGCTGCTGCGAGCGCCGAAGGCAAACCGAAGAAGGAAGAGAAGCCACGCAGTAATTTTGGTGAGCGCTTGCGTAACTTTTTCGTGCGCAAGCCAGCCGCAGAAAAGCAACAGACCGCGAAACAAACGGCCAATGGAGATGCTGATGCAAAGAGTGGTGAGTTTGAAAGCGCAGAATCTAAGTTTGTTTTTTAGAAACAAATTTAATTAGGAGTTTGACTAAATTTGAATTTTTTTGTTTTTTTTTCTCTTTGATTACTAGAAGCAACTGCTGAGGCAGCTGCCGCCGATGGTGAGGCTAACAACACAACCACCGTTTCTGATGCGCCACCACAGAAGCGAGGTCTATTGAATGCTATCAAATTGCCGATTGCAAATATGATACCGCGCAAGAAGACAGATGACGACGTGGAACTGGGCATGAGCAAGGCTGGACTGGCCTCGATGGAGACACTCGATGACTCGCTGAAGGATCAGGATTGTGTTGATAAGGCACCCGCTAAGAATAATGGCACCGATGAGATTACCAAGCTGAAGAAATCACCTAGTGGTGAAATCAAGCAAGCTTCGCCGGAAGAGGTATGTACACATGCATGTTGAAGATCATGGAAATTAATCGAAAAACCACAAACAATAAAAAAAATTATAAAAGTGTTATTATTAACGATGACAATATGCGTAAATATAGCAATGAGATCGATTAGTTTATTGGTAATGTTAACGATAAATTTAAATATGACAAATGTATCGGCTATGATAACCTGCAAATAGTATCGAAAATGTTGTAGTACAAAAATATCGATAACTTAATTAGCAATTTTACCGATAAATATAAATATCATGATATCTATAGAAAAATATTTAAACTATAACAATGACAAATATAGCTTGAAATACATCGATAAAAAAAAATCGCCAATAAGGTCGAGCATTTTATTGAAAAGGATAGAAAATCAATATAACAATTTCGATAAATACATCGATAATGACATTGGTATATGCCTTTATCGATAATTAGATGTGCGCATATGTATGCATATGAATAAATGTATTTATCGATAACAAATTCAATAAATAAATCAATAATGATATGAGTAAATACTTCGATACCGTTATCGCTAAATTGATATGCATACATACATACATAAATATGGGCGCACACGGTTATCGGAAAATATTTACACTTTGGCAATGATGAAAGGTGTTATCGCTAATTATCGATTATTATGTTGGCAACTATATCGATAAATAAAAGAAAGGTAAAATCTTAAATCATACTTTAACACTTTTGTAAAATAAATCTATATTAATATCGATAAATAAACCTATCCATAGTTATGTCTACCATGAAATACAAAGATGCATATATGTACCTACCGATAATGTGTTCGATAAATACATAGGTGAGGCACTAGGTGTACTGATAACTATGTGTTTTCGAAACAATTTTTCTTCTTATCTAATACTAAATTATCGTTCCGTAAAAATAACGGAACCACCATTTAATCTAAAATAATCGATGAATCACGAAACGCCTCCATTAAACGAGTATTGTTAAATCTACATATCTCTCGGGTTAATTAACAAAAAAATATTCGGGCTCAATCAATCCGAACATGCTGTTCATGGACGTACTACATATTCTTATATGTATGTATATCGATAACGAACCCGAGCACACGCGTACGTGGCTACAGCAATGATATTGATAAATATATGTTGCTAGTTATATCGATAAATATTAATATCGATAATTTTATGTATCGATAATTGTGCTTTGCAATCAATAACTATTATCGATAAATACGTCGATAGTCAACACACCAACGTGGCACTAACCATGATAATTATAGTTGTCGATAACGATAAATATGAAAACATATTTGTAATATAATATCTGTAATTATGCGAGAAGAAAGTGATCAAAAGTAATACATTAACAATTTCGATTAATATATATCGATAGCTCTTTTTATCGATAATAAGGCCGATAAATATATCGATTACGGTTTCCAATTTAGATACATTTATTTGGGGTGTTCACAGTTCGTTCCAAATTGTGTCTGAAAATGTAGACGTCTACATTTTGAGACATCTTTAGCATCAAACTGTGAGCACCCCTTTCTAGCAGTCGTCGCAAAATCGTCTCAAAACTTTGCTGGTGTTGCCAGACATTTCTTCTTTGCGTGCTTTTTTATATGTCGCCTTTCGATTTTGTTTCTGAAAAATTGTAATTATTTAACTTAATTACCAATTCCTAATATTTGTTATTTCTTTTCCTTGATTTGTTTCTTTTCATCAGAAATTGCGCTCAAATTAAATGCAAATACAGAAAACGTGCCCAATACATAAAAAAAAGCGATTAGTATTGCCATAATGCAACCCTGCTGCGAGGTTGCAAAATGTAGACGCGTAAAAAACATACCTTTGAGTGTGACAAAATGTAGACGGCGTCGTTTTCCAATTTTGTATGGGAAACAACAACACCACAGATTTTACGGTTAGAAAACGTCTTAAAATGTAGACGTCTACATTTTGAGACACTATTTGGAACGAACTGTGAACACCCCAATTATTTATTATTCAATCTGAGATATTTTTAAAGTTACGTACAGTTAAAGCCGCTTCAATACCTCGTCAGTTTAAGGCCTCACCCCCTAACTATCTCAGTTTTTCATGCTCCAATTCTGATTTATTTCACCTTAGCTCTTCCTCTTTTATGTAGTAGCTCAGGAAGAACAAATTTTCCGGCGAGATTCTATTGTAGCCTTTTTACTATCACTATCCCAAAATCTACACACCTAATCTCTCAATTTTTTTATTTCTCATCCTTTCTACAGAAATCACCCGAGGAGCCAGAAATCCCTATGTCCTTTGCCGATCGCTTGCGTTCGTATCGCTGCTCTGTGGATGATGGTCTCATCGTGCTAGGCATTTTACTCTTCATTTTGCTACTCGTTGTTATCGGCTATGTACTGTCGCACGAGACGCTCACCTCGCCGCCATTGCGCGAAGGCCGCTTCATTGACGCAGTAACCGGTTGTGGCATGGTTGAGGGCTTACAAGAGGATGGCGCATTCGCCTTCCGTGGCATTCCATACGCTCAACCACCCGTGGGGGATCAACGCTGGCGGGCGGCACAACCGATTAGCGGCATAGAAGACTGCTGGAACGGTACTTTGAAGGCGCACAACGTCAGCAACTATTGTACACAACGCCTGGGCAATGGCACTCTTGTGGGCGATGAAGATTGCCTCTATTTGGATATCATCACGCCGCATGTACGCTACACCAGCCCAGTGCCCGTAATTGTACTAATCGGCGCCGAAACATTGACTGGTCCCTCACCGGGTGTGCTCCGCCCATCTGCGCGTTATTCACGTTCGCATGACGTCATTTTCGTGCGTCCGAATTTCCGTTTGGGTGCATTTGGTTTTCTCGCACTCGACGTGCTCACCAAGGACGCCTATCCACGCACATCGGGCAACTATGCGCTAACGGACATCATTGCCGCACTAAAATGGATACAATTGAATATCGCACACTTTGGCGGTGATCCCAAATCAGTGACGCTACTCGGCAACCGCGCAGGCGGCACTCTCGTATCGGCGCTGGTGACATCCAACAAAGTTAACGAACTCTATACACGCGCTTGGGTCTCTTCTTCGTCTGCGATTTTCCCTGGCAAACCATTGGAAGAGTCGGAGAAGCGTAATGAGCAATTTATGACCGCTTTGGATTGTCAAGATGTTGCATGCTTACGCACCGCCTCCACCGAACAAATTTGGGCTGCCACACCAGACACTTGGCTACACTTTCCCGTCGACCTGCCGACCGTTGATGAAAATCCAGGCGCGCATCACGAGTGGCTCGTACTGGATGGTAACATACTTCAACGTCATCCAGCCGATGCCTGGAAGGAAGAGCATACCGGCAAACCGAAACTTGTGATGGGCACAACAGCGCATGAGGCGCACACCGAACAACTGCGACAACGCCACGCCAACTGGACTGCTGATGAGGTGCGTGCTTTCATCCATTCGTCGAAAATCGGCGCACTCAATCTAACCGAAGAAGCTATACGACTCTACAATGCGACCAACTATCGCAGTTTGGTCACCATGATCACCGACATACGCACCATTTGCCCGCTGCTAACCAATGCGCGCCTACAACCATCAGTGCCCTTCTATGTGGTGCAACAGGGCGAGGGCGAACACCAATTGGCCTCTGTCGATACAGATGTGCTCGCCATACTGGGCCGCTATGAGCCGCACACTGTTGAACAACGACGATTTGTGTCGTCCATGCAACAGCTATTCTACTATTACATTTCACATGGCACCGTGCCACAATACGAACCGAGTCGACGAGTGTTGTATGTTGCGCAAGATCCGCTGCCACAACAGGATCATCCAAATTGTAATTTCTGGATACGTCATGACATTGTGCCGCGTTATGCACGCGTGGATTAAGGTGGTGTGCGGTAGGCATGGAGAGGGGAAGGGAAGGGCGAAAGCGACTGAGTTGTCCTGCGGTGAGGTAGAGAGAGCGACAAACCTGTTGATAAACAAGTTGATGTGTGTTAAATAGTATGCGAAGCAGGTGGCTGTGGATTTTTGTAGAGCGAAATGAAAACAAAGAGAACAAATTGGGAGCCGTGCAGAGTCCACCGTGGCTGCGGCACATCGATGTTTAATACATAGACAAGCATACACATGCCTACACCCAAATAAAGACCATTCATATACGAATGCATTTATAGAAACTACAAAAAAAATAAGTANACCCAAATAAAGACCATTCATATACGAATGCATTTATAGAAACTACAAAACAAAAAATTAAAAATTTGAATGGCAAGCAGCTACTATCCACAACAAATCCAATGAATATCATCTGTAATATATGGGTCAATCCAAGAAAAATTGGAATCGACCATTTTCGATTTGGATGAATTTCGGTCAGAACTTTTCTTTTGCCATATAACGAAGGTCTGCAAAACCAATTCTAAAGCGAAAAACCCCCAAATTTTCCCGATTTTGCAAGTTAATTTTTTGAGTATCTCAAAATCTATTATATCTACAAAAATATTTCTGGTTTCGTGTTGAAAGCGATATCTGCTACTACATAAAAAAATAAAAACAAATTAAAAGGATTTAATTTTTTATTTTTTTTTTAATTTTGAAATTTAAAAAATCGTAAAACAGAAACCTATGTAAATGTTTGGCTTCATTGTCAAGAAGGTGTATGTTTTTTAAGATATGAATTTTTGAACTTTGAAAAAAAATTTAAAAAACTTTAAATTAAAAATAATTTTTAATTTAAAATTGTTTAACATAACTTTACTAAGAGTTGGGAAAAAAACTTTGTTCAAAGTTCAAAACTCATTTAAAAAAAACCCTTAAAATTTCAGGATCTTTTAAGATCAGCTAAAAAAAATTAGACACAAATTTTTATAAGTGCTCTGACGATATTTTCAAAATTAAAGAATAAAAAAGATTTATAAGTTTTGCTCTAATGATATTAATAATTTCGAAATTCTGAGATTTTTTTATTTTTCGAGTTATTTTTGATCTATTTTTTTTTCAACCCTAAATATCACCTTTAAAACATTTTTGTAACTATAACAGTTTTTGAGATAATCGAAAACTAAACTTGCGAAATCCCGAAAATTAGGAAATTTTGAAATTTACATAATTTTCGAAAAAAAAAATAAATTGATTTTCTTTGGCAGAACTTCGTTATATGATAAAGGAAAATTTCTTACCAAAATATAGCCAAATAAAAAATGTTCGATTTCAAACCATGGTCTATTTGATATGGATTGACCCATATGGAAATAAAAAAAAAGAAACCTCCATCCCCCACTTAAAATTCAAGAGCAAATTTTGCAAATACATATACAGAAAAAATATATAATATATTGCATGTCAAGTGTTTTCTCTGGAGCTTTATAATCCGATTTTACAAGAAATTTTTGCACTTGAAGTTTTTTTCTTTTTTATACGAAAATTTCTTACTCCGAAACAAAAACAAAAAACATTTAAAAAAAATCATGCAGTGTTTATTTGTTTTACTTTTATGCATAACTAATATTAATACTATTGAAAAAATAATAAATAAACAACAAAAACACTTAGTGGCTAAGCAATGCTAGTTTTTATATGTATGTAAATTTAATTTAAAGAATAAACGAAGTAAAAGTAAGAGTTAATAAATTTAAATTTATTTATGTGTAAATTTACATAAATGAAATTATATTCGCCGCGCGCGCAGCGAGTTTTGAAATCATTCGATTCGAATATTTGTGGAAAAAATCTCTAAGTTAAATGTATGATTTTATTTTTTTTTGATATACAATACATATATAAGTTCGTATTTTATGTATGTAATATTAGCATAAACAACACAAACACAAAAAACATAAACATACACAAAAACACTCATATACATACATACATACAAATATACAAAAATACAAATACACTTACATTAAAATAAAATAAATAAAAAAAAATGTAAAACAAATTACTTGAAAAGTTAAAAACCAAACCAAAAATGTTGTTTTCTTCAACTCAATGCCACAAGATTCCTAAGGGGATAGACAAAATCCTACTAATCAGCTAGTACATATGTCGCAGAAACCGACTCGGAATTAGTTTTTGTCGAAAATAAAAACCGAAACCTATTTCATTTGCTGTCGTGAAAATCTATCGAATTTTGATTTTCCTGTTTTCTTTCACAACTTACAAATTTTTACCAATTACAAATTTGAAAGTGAAGTTGCGCGTTTTACTGGATAAAATGTAAAAAAATTTTGGAACTTCAAAGTTAAAGACCAAACTATTTAAATAAAATTTCTGAAAACTTGAAATTTCTTCCAATTCTGCTTCTTCGTCTTTGTCTTCGTCTTTTTATCTTCGTTTTCGTAGTTGTTTTTCGGAAATTTTTCTTAGCGAAACTTGGTATGTATACTTCTTTTCGACGTAGGGCGGATGGTACTGAAAATGGGCAAAATCGGGCAATAACCACGCCTACCTCCCATATAACGATAGTTTTCAGAAATACGAGAACCGCGTTATTTTAGTAACGACTGAAGATTATTCACTAAAAATTGACATTTATAATCTTTTTTATGCGAAAAATAAGATTATAAATTTTTTGAAAATGGGCGTAGCCACGCCCACTTATGATTCAACGTATATATTTTGGGAACCGCGCCACCAATTTCTCCCAAACTTGGCACGGTTGTTGGTCTTGGTACAGCATACCAAATCGCTGAAAATTTTTAAAACCCGACAATAACCACGCCTACATCCCATATAACGGTAATTTAGAGAATTACGAAATCTTCGATAAATCAGTAAATACCGAAGCTAATTTATTCAACATTAATGCTTGCAACAATTCCTTAGCTCAAAATACGTTTGTGATAAAATTTTGGAGAATGGGTGTGGCACCGCCCACTTATGATCGCATACATATATGTATCTCGGCAACCGTTCGACCAATATGTACCAAACTCGGTACAATTATTGTGCTTGCCACATAAAAGCAAAACGCTGAAAACTATTGAGATCGGATTAAAATTACGCCCACTTTTTATATAACCGTTAATTTAAGAAATGCTTGAAACTTCGATATTTCAAAATTTAAGGAGGCTAATTTAAACAAAACTGATACTAACAACGATCCCTTGAAAAGAGGTAACATTATTATGGAATTTTGGAAAATGGGCGTGATACCGCCCACATATAACTACATAAGTTTATCGAAGATGTTTGAAATAGGGATAAATCCACCCCTGCTTTTCAAGTAGCGGTAGTTTTCGGAAAGGTGAAAAAAACTATCAGCCTCATTGCGTAAGTCGTAAATTAGGCTGAATTGTACGACTCGACTACATTAGCATTGTCTACTGTCGTGCTGAAATAAGTAAACGACGAAAATTGTGGAAAACTATGCAGTGCTGCCAAGTTCTTCCGTTTTAATACACTAGTCGAGTGGAAATTTTAGGCAATGACGCTAAATTTTCGATACGATTCGACTCTCGGAAAACGACTTGCATTCGGCACGACTCTCGCAATGAGGCTGTACATTTGATACTTGCGCCGGGTATCTAATGTTCGGCTCCGCCCGAACTTAGACTTTTTACTTGTTTCTTATATAAAATACCTGGAAAACTTTGAGCGCTTTTAGCGACCTCTAAATATTTTTTGATTTTTGATAAAAAATAGGCGTATATTTTTTTCGATATAGAACAATCCTAGGGGGTGAGAGCATTAAAATTCCAACTTTACTGTTTTTGGACCACCCTGATGTGCACACAAATTTATTCTTATTTTTGTAGCTTTAACGATTCAAACTTGCTATTTATGAAATTCACTCACCCAACTATAAAAGAGATATAACTAGGGAAAAGTGCATATATGTACTAATTTATAAAAAAAAATTATCATGGTACCTATTATTATTATTATAATTATACCATGAAAATTTGTTATATTTGTATGTATATTTGCTTGTATTAAAAATCTTAATAATGAAATATATGAAACATAAAACAAATGTTTAAAAAGTATATTCTTTAAAATAAGAAGGAATGGTAATTTCTGGCAGATGAAGTCCACAGGCGTTATTCCTCCCTTCAAACCGTCGTTGATGGTTGTGTGACATACATATGTCTGTATTTCGCTCGTAAGTTCGTAAAGATTACTCGTGAAGTGTCTAAGAAGTAGCGCTACTTCCAGCAAGTTGTTGTTCTGTTGTTATATGGCGTGGGCAACTAGGGGTCATATACTTTGCAGTCCACTCCCTATGTAACCTAAGGCCGGAACAGGTTCTTAGGTGAATTCATCCGTTGCAAGGATTGCAAATAACCGAAGTAGTAAATACCAGCCCAAAGCAGAAGGATTGTGCAAGGTGTTCCTCTAAGTGATCGCCAAAACAGAAGCCCGTAGCCGGATAAAACCCCTTCCGAGTCAGATGAATATACATAATAGCCTATATATTTTCCTTAACTCTAGAAAAACTTCAATTTTTATTTTTAACCGACTTCAAAAAAGGAGGTTATCAATTCGTCGGAAAATATATATTATTGGCGTTTTAAATAACTATCTCATTTTCAGGGCAACTATCTTCCCTGACAAAGCTTCACAGGGCAGCGAGTGTGCCTTTTTGCCTGTGTCATTTTAAGAAACGAACACAAAATTTTCTCAATTTTGGCTTTCATTTAGAATCGACCACAAATAGAGAAAGGGGCAATTAAAAGGCGATATTTTTTTTTAGTAGAAACGAAAACGCCATCAGCTTCTTTAATGTTCTTAAACCAGAGGTAGTCAATAAGAACGCCACAAGGCAATACATTTTTATTGTTGTTGTTTTAACAGCATACAAATTCCCCAAAGAGATTTTGGGGAGTGTTGCTGGAGTGACAGTCCTTGGCCAGATATAAATCTGGGTCGTTCCGGTTACGTAGACCCGACTGTCGTGGGAACGTACATTTTTATGTTCACATTCAGTCTGAGCAAAATTTTATTATTATATTTATGAGTTTATTATTTTACATCTATATATTTTTTGCTTTAGCTTAGATATAGACTTAATGATCACAAATATCATTTGGTTGCTGCATCCTCATCTAACCTACATGGTTAATTTTACAAGCTAATAATGAAAGAACGACAACTTTTATGAAATATGTAAGCTCATTGTGAACCTGCTAGGCTCAAAGTTGATAAAAAAAAAAAATCTCATAATCTAAAAATAAGGAATATTTGGGAGTAT